AAGGACCATGATTACTTAAAGGCATGCCAATCTCCATATCACTTGACGAGCCTTGCTCATACTCATTTCTCATTACAAAATATGCTAAAATGTGCAAAATATTCAAAGAATTCCCCAAAGAAGATTTTTGCGGATTTTCGATATATACGCAGAATTCTGCTTCGTTTGACACCAAACGCAGCTTTATACAATTTCTTTCCGGATAGTATCGATATTTCATCTTCAACTACTGGACTATTATAGGAATCGAAAGATGTGACGCGAGAAAAATTGTGATTGTTTTACATGTGCTGTATATAGTTAGCTATCCCAAACCCTAACTCTAACCCTAACTCTAACACCTGATATGAGCCGCATGCAGTCGAATAAACTGTTCAGCTTCAGCTACGAACGAGATGGATGAGCAGAGCGTTGTCAACGTACCGTGAATATGTCTGTCTACTCATCATCGTCGTCTGTTTACTGCGTGAAAAGTGTTTTTTTTTCAGCGCGGGAAATATTTCACCGCGCGTTCACGCTCTCGCAAACGATAGCGTTTTTGTGCCGGTGTTTAGAAGAAATCTTCTTCAGCATCAAAGGCGAAGCAGACGGTGTGTGTGTGTGTGTGTGTGTGTGTGTGTGTGTGTGTGTGTGTGTGCGCACGCGCGTGTGTGTGCGAGTCCCGCCGCTGCCTCGGAGCCGCTGACAGATCGTCATCGTCGTCCTATCCACGGCCGGTGAGTAACATTATCATTGCATCATCATTATCATCATTATCATCATTATCATTATCAAGCAGTATAGACTAGATTATTTCTCGCTGTTGTGCCCACGCACCTTCGCGCGCGTAATCACCTTTTTAATAACAGCTGCGAAACGAAATGACTCAAATGACTAAATTCAATTTGAATCGGTTGCGAGCGGCGGTGAGGACACGGCGTTGCAAGACAACGGAGGACTGCGGAGTAGGAAAAGCGAAATTATAATATGAGAATGTAATTTGTAAACGAAGAAAAACGCGGAGCAGTGGTTATTGCTACCCGCCTAACCTCGTTATTCATAATTCGCTTCTGATACGTGAGCGTGATGATTAAAGTGATTACGTCTCCGTAAAATAGTAAAACTAAAAAAAAATCAATTTTTTCACAAAATGTAAGTAATTCTGTTCACGTTTCATGGTCAAATTGCTGCATTATACTTCCTATTTTACTATATTGTTCGATGTAAACATACACTCGTGACTACGAGCGTATAGCAAGCAATTAATGCCAGGATAATATTATCAAATCGTCCAAGTTTTTTGGATTTTTAACTAGTTGAGAAACATTCTTATCAGGTAAGAATTTGACGATACATTTATACCCTAACCCTTACTTTTAATGTAAAAAAATGGCAACACAAATTTTAAAAATATACACCATAGAAAATTCGTGACGTAGTCAATTTAATATTGCATTAATTATCAAAATGGTAATAAGATTCTGTTGCCATCCCATGCATATTGTGATTAGCGAATTACCTTCGTCGCCATCTCCCTGCTTCGTTCGAGTAACGGCGTGGTTCTATTACGGCATCAGGAGTAACTACTATTATAACTATTATTTACTCCTGATATATCTCATTTTCAAATACGCTAATCTGATAAAAGATAATATCTAGTTGGTTTTGGCGCAGACAAGCTAACATTGTTAGGCCGTGCAATATATAGAACGTCTAGTACGGCAGAATCTCTAAGGATAAGCGTTTTGTACAGGCGGTGTTGTCACGTACAGAGACATTCGGGGGGCCAATAAAAAGCTTAAAATTACGCAAAGACTAAACATAATAATATCGTGTTGCAAGCAGAAAGCAATAATTTGTTTCAGGATTCCTATGGTTGTTCTTTGTTGAGGGGTTCGAACATGTCGGTCGCGTGAGTCTTTCGATGTACATTTTAGATATATACGTCGTGTTACTTCGTTATTACTTTTTTGTTCTCAGGTAATCGTGATCGATCGTCAGTTTCTTCAAAGCGTTCGAAAAAAAAGAATTTCAACATGATCGGTGCATTTAAAAGATAAAAAAAAAGAAAAAAGAAAAAACGCAAGAACAAGAATTCAGACCATGGATAAAAACAAACGAAGCGATCCCGCAGAGAGAATCATGTATTAAAGATGGCGGAAGATGCTGGCGATGAAACCTCATACGTGAGTGAGTGAGCGAGTGGGTGAGTGAGTGAGTGAGTGAGTGAGTGAGTG